TCTGCACTCCCTATAGGTCCCTGGGCACAGAGTGAACACTTGGGAAAGCCTTGCCGGGAGTACAGACAGATGCAGGAAGGAACAACTGGTGGAATCAGGCTCTGATGCGTTCAGAGCTGCCCCGAGGGGCTGAAGGCAGCACCCTGGAGACTGGCTCTGGGCTGGGGTCACGGCCTGGAGTGTGCGAGGTGCACACGTGCCTCTGTGACGGAGGAGGCTGCAGCCATCTTTTAAGTGAAGTTCACGCAGCTGGCGGCTCCTCCCATCCTGAAGGCTGCGTCCTTGGTGCTCTGCCCAGTGCTGGAATTCAAGGCCTGAAGGAGCCTCAGCCCCAGACCCCTGTGCACGGCAGTGTGGAAATGGAAGGGGAACGGGGGCTGCTGCCAGGGCCAGCCTGACTTGGAGGCTCCGATTCACCAGCAGTCACCTTTCCAGCACAGCATTCTGTTCACTGGCACCGGTGACATCCGCCGCGACGGGGCTTGGGGCAGGGCCGAGTGTCCACGGAACAGCAGCTCTGGTCCCCGCAGGCCCACCGTGTAAGTTAGCAGTGCTGGTGTGGCTTGGGGGCCACCAGGAAACCCCCTCATGCCCCAGACGCGTCTGTAATGCTGGGAATGCTGGCTTTCGAGACCAGCCCTTCGGCGCTGTTGGGTCTGTCAACGTGAGCTCCCTTGGGACATTTGCGTCCCCGGGTGTTTATCGCCCTTTCTACACAAGGGGCGGTTTTGTACATGATAGGGGGTGAGTGGGGACGGAGACAGAAAAGGGAGCTGGAGCGGAGGTGGGGTCGGAGTTGAGGGTGGGAGGTCGTCCTGTTCACGGGCACCGCCCCTTCCTGATCCTGCATCTACCCTGAACCCCGCTCACCAAGAACCCGTCACCAAGAGCCCCCGCTCCTCTGCCCGGGGCCCAGGTGCAAGTGCCGGCACACCCCTGCTTGGGTTGGCTGTGGTCCCACCAGCAGCTCGCTGAGGGACCTTGGCCAAGAGACCTGGCCCCTGCGGGGGTGTTCTCATCTATAAAATGGGTATAAAGTGCATATTGTGAGTTTTTTACTTAGAGTCAAAAAGGAAATCCGTGTACCTGGGCCCCTGATGGCTGGCAGGTCGTCAGCCCCATCAGGAGGAGGTGTCCAGGTGAGGGCACAGCTGTGAGCTAAGTGGCTCTGTGCAGTGGGGCCATGTCAGGAGGCTTCCTGGAGGAGGTGTCTAAACAGTCACCCATGGCTGTATTGGCTCGGGGACTGGGTGCCCTGGGATCCCAGGTTGGCAGACACTCTATGTTCCAGTTGACTTGGTGCTGAGGAGGGTTGGGAAGAGTGTGAATGCATGGTAACCACCCACCACGTGTCCGGCGCCAGGCTTTTCATGCCAACCTGATGAGGCCCCAGAGATGGATAGCATCCTGGCTGAGACCACGTAGCTAAGGGAAGGATTAGGAATAGCCAGGGACCCAGGGCTCTGAAAGGGCAGGCGGTGTCCAAATACAGGTGGACTCTCGAGCCCACCCTGCCCTGTGCATGCCAAGAAGGTCCTTGGACTCGTCTCTGCCAGGTGGCTCTGTGGCTGGGCACCCCCTTCCAGGCCCAGCGCTGCAGCTTCCCAGCACTGGGAAAGCAAGGGTGCTCGGCACACCTTGTGGCAGCCCTGCTGTCAGGAGCAGCCTGTCTCTCCATCCCCAGTTGCCTGTGTTTGGGGTAGGTAAGGCAGTGTGCTCCCCGAGCTTCCTGCCTGGTCACGCCAGGGATACAGAGGGTTCTGGACAGTGGCTCTCAGAGAGAGGCTGGCCCCTGGGGAGGGGAGTACCACCCGGGAGTGAGGCCCATGTGAGGAGACTCCGTTTGCTGGCCTGTTTCTGGCACGCGGCATGGAGAAGGGACTCCCTCTTGCGCTGATTCCTTGCGGTGAAGGCCAGCTGTTGGTGCAGGGTTTTCCCGTGCCCACCTGGAAGTCACACGGCCAGTGCATCCCTCGTGGGCTGCTGTGGTGAGCTGGGCCAGGTACATCTGGGCACAGTCCCCGGACATTCTACCGAGCCTGGGGCCTGGGAGAGGAAGGGGGTATCCTAGGAAAGACCCAGGCTCCCTGACTCTCTTGGGGGTGGCATGCGGTGGGGAGAGGGAGATGGTCTTCACCTTCCCCCACCTGGGACAACTTGACTGTGAAGACAAAGGTCCCCGTTCCTCCACATGGGGACCCAGGCCTCACCTGTCACCTCCAGACCCAGCTGCCTTCAGAGCCCGGTCACCTGGGAGATGGCCCTGTCAGCCTGAGACCAGAATAGTGCACCCTGGGGAAGCACAGAGACGGGATCTTATGTCAGCAGTGTCCATACAGCCATGACGATGCCTAACCCCAGGCCTGTCTGGGGAGACCAGTGAGGTCTGGGTCACCTCGGATACTGCCATATGGCCTCATCACGTTGCTCGAAGTCTGCATGTGACTGCCGCCATCTCAGGGCCCTCTGCTATGGCCAGCATGCCCCACAGGGCAACCTCGGGACCAGGGCGTCCAGTGTTCCCAGGGCCTGGGCAAGCCACTTAGGGCCACCGGCTCTGGTGGTCCTAAGTGATAAAGGCTGCCGTGACCTCAGACCCCAGCCAGTGTCCTCTGGGTTCTGGGAACCTGCCCTGCCTGGAGTGTCTGGGGAAGGACCAAAGAGTCCGAGGACAGGAGGGTCCTCTCCGTTCTCCCGGCCAGCGGACACTCGGGCACACTCAGCCTTCTGGAGCCTGCGTCCTTCAGCCCCGGGTCTGCCCAGGAGCCACACAGAGGTGATGCTTTCCCCGAGGCTCCTCTTCGTAGGACACCTGTCCCCTGGCGGGAATGCGAGATCCATCCTCTTGCAGTCACGTGCCAGGGCCAACAGGACCCGCCTTTGGTGAGAGGGTGCATGGGTACGGCTCTGTCTCTCCTGGGCACACACAGCAGTCTCTGCCAAGAGTCACACGATATCTCTTCACTCCCATGCTTCATGCAGCATGGTTGCAGGGCCACCTATCCCTAGGGGTCACCTGTGAGCAAGACTGTCTTGAGGTCATGACTCATGACCTTTGTCAACAAGCTCGGTGCCTGGCGCTCAGACATGGGGCTGTCACTGATTCTGGGGACCCCTCTGAGAACCTGTACGGTGCCAGTTCCCTGCCAGGTTCCATGTGTGCAAAGGTGCCTCCCACTCGCCCTGCTCCCAGGTAGAGCCTGGTCACCTGGGAGATGGCCCTGTCAGCCTGAGACCAGAACGGTGCACCCTGGGGGAGCAGAGAGATGGGATCTTGTGCCAGGGGGAGGGGCTTCAGGGAGAGCATCACCCAGAGTCCCCTGCCGGGCTGACAGGAACAAGAAGAAGTTTGCTGACAAGGCGTAGGGCTCAGGAAGGCATTTGAGGCCAAATGCTGACATAGACAAACACACAGAGCGTGGAGGTGTCCGGGAGGGCTCCCTGGATCTGCCTGCCCAGGGCAGTTGCATCTGTCAGAGCTGGAAGATGACATAGCAGGAGGCTCACCCCTAGATCCAGTGCAGCGGCCTCCAGGGAAGTGTGAGAAACCCACATGCAAAGGTACCTGGATGTCACCTGTTTGGGTCCCCGTTTGTGCTGTGTCGTACGCCCGGTGTTCATGGAGCGTTAATGCGATCAGGCGTTGTCTCTGGTTTGTTCAGCCAGTGGACACATCACTCCCCTCCTGAAACCACCTGCTCTCACGGTACCCTTCACAGCCCGACATCAGTCCAGTGTGGAGTGTGCGGGGCCTCCCAGGCGCTTCTGGGTTAGCCCTCAGCGGGTGTTTCTCACCCTCGAATAAGAGCTCCCCTCTCTCAACTCCCTATGACAGCCCTGTGAGATAGGGACAGAGGCTTGGCCAGGGTGAAGCTACTTGCTCACTGTGATTCGTTGGGGATCCTAACCCAGGTTCGTCTGACTCTGGCACGTACTCGTTTCTTTGCATTATGTCACATCCTGGAGAGTTCCTGTTTTCTGAAGAACTAAAATGAAGTCTTGGTAAATTTGGTTGTCGGGATGTCGTTGTGGTTTCACCACTGCTTCCCTCTAAAGTCTGGCTGGTCTTAAGCGAGTGAGTTTTGGAGTAGATGACTTGAAACACCCCTGTGACTGCTCAGGGGGCCCCGGGTTGGCGGGCCAGACGCAAGAGCCCGTGGGGACGTTAAGCAGATCTGGCACCTTCTGGGGGGCAGAACAGGGCGCATGGGGTTGGACCCGGCCACACCAGGCCAGAGAGACCCACCCGGACGCACACCTGACCCTCGATGGGCTTCAGGACTGTGGTGATGGCTCACTGGCATCAAAAGCCCTCTTGAATCCCGATCTTTTCATTCACACCCATCCCGTGGCCGCTTGGGTCACACCAGTGGCCTCCAGCACCCGCTCCCAGCCCCCCACCTGCAGGGCCTCTCCTGATTCCGCTCCTTTATACATATACTCTTAGGAGTCTGGGCCCTGTGTGTGTTGCCTCTGGTATGCATTCTTTTTTTTTTTTATTTGTGGTGAGGAGTCTCACTCTTTTGCCCAGGGCAGAGGCAGTGCACGATTGCAGCTCATGCAGCCTCTACCTTCTGGACTCAGGCGATCCTTCCTCCTCAGCCTCTGGGACTACAGACATACACTGCACTCGGCCTGGTGTTCGTCTTTTCATGTTCCACCCTTCCTCCGTGTTTCTCGCCCACCCAGCCCTGAGCAGGCATTGGGGAAGCCCACGCAGAGCCCACACTCCAGCAGACCCCACGGGGAGCAGAATTTGTTCTCCAGCACCAGACTGGCCACGGGGCCCCACTGACCTGTGGCTCCAAGTCTGCATTCGCTGGCTGATGCGAAAGACGGCAGACCCTCAAGGAGGCAAAGGCTGTCGGCCGATCCCACCGAGAGTGCGGGCTGTTCTGGGAAGGCTTCACCTGAGGCTCGAGGACCGCTGTGTGGGTTTGGGGCTCCCGGGGGGCTCCCCACGCGTCCCCCGCCCCGACCGCCGCCCTTTGTCTCCGCAGGCCCCCCACCCTGAGCGGCAGTCCTGTCATCTCCGACATCTCCTTGATCCGGCTCTCTCCGCACCCTGCCGGCCCTGGGGAGTCCCCGTTCAACGCGCCCCACCCCTACGTGAACCCCCACATGGAGCACTACCTCCGTTCAGTGCACAGCAGCCCCACACTGTCCATGATCTCCGCAGCCAGGGGCCTCAGCCCCGCCGACGGTGAGTGGGGCCTGGGGGTGGAGGGGCAGCTGGGACCCCGGGACAAGTCGCGACGGGCAGCCCGGGGCTCGGTCAGCACAGCCAGCCCCGCTTGCCAGCCCTGTGGACTCCTCAGCCTTGGTCCTCTCGGGCGGTCGCTTGGCGTTCCTTGCCCCCGGGTCTGAGCAGCAGGTTTTTCAGTCAATGCTTGGCTGGGGTCCACTGGCTTTTGAGCTCATGACAGAGCCTCTGTGAGCACCACGCTTGCACACCACGTGTGACTCACCACGATAGTCCTGGTAGGGCTCTGTTTGGGCAGGTCCTGTGTTGGTGAGAACCACTGGCTGCAGCACCTCAAAGTCTGCAGGGGCTAAGCAAAAGGGGTGTGGTGTGAGGGTGCCTCTTGCAGAAAGGGGAGAGCGGGCTGCCCACACCCTTGTTTGATCTGCCCCTTGCGTGTCGACACAGGTGGGCGACAAACGGCAGGCCAGCCTCGAGGCTCCAGGGATGGACCTGTGGCTTTGTGTCTCTCAGTTCAGGTGCTTGAGAGGGAGTTGAATGGCCTGGCTTAGAGAACTGATGGCCACTCCCAATGTGATTACTTTCAGTCAGAAAAAGGCAGAGTCACATGATCCAGATACATCTTTCAGATCTAAAGTGTTATGCTGCTAGACCCTATCCCTACCCCACACATAAACATGCACAAAAACACACTGGACATTGGAGGCCAGCCCCATCCATGATGTCTCTGTGGGAAATGCATCCCCATGCCCAGTCCGGCATGGCCATCACCCACAGCCCCATGCCACCCCTGACATCGCTCTGTTAGCCTCCCATGGCTCCCATCCCTGAAAACAGCCATGCTGCATCTTCTCAAAAAATGCCCAGCTGAGACTTTCCCTCTGGGGCTACAGGACATTTGCATGTGCACTTGGCAGCACTGTGGGCAGAGACTCCCTGGTCACTAACTCCATTCTCCCCCAGAGAAATGTGTTCCCTCCCATGGGTGTGACCTTGAGCTGAAACAGAGACCTGACTCCGGGAAGGTGCGGGCTGGGGTTTCCCAATGGAAAAGAAACGTATAGCCTGCAAATGTGCAGAAAGTTTCCCTGAAGCAGCACCATATCTTGCTGGCGGGGAGGTTTGCGCTTGGCCTGGTTCTCGCTGAAGAGAATCCAGACAAGGTGAAGGGTTGCATCCACGGAGCTTGCAAATGGCTGGCCAGGACGTTGCACCGTTCTGAAGTGGCCCCTCAGGGTCGGAACCCAGCCCTGAACTCTGTGTGAGTCCCCTGAGTGGCCTTGTCCAAGCCAGCGTGCTCTAGGGCTGTGCTCCCTCCATGCCGAGCTGCTATCTTGTGGACGGGGGCCTGAGCTTGTCCACATCACACCTGTCACCCAGCTGGTGCTGGGCTGGCGAAGAGCACGAGATGCATGTCAAGCTCCAGGTGCTGCCCTGGTGTCGATGTTCACATGCGGTGTGGCAGCTGAGTGGTGCCCCCAAAAGGCGTATCCACATCCTCGTTCCCAAACCTGAGTGTTGCATCGTCTGGAAAAGGGTCTTTGCAGATGTCACTAAGTTAGAGATCTTGCGCCGACAAAATCATCCTAGATTTAGGATGACATGCGTCCTCATAAGAGACACACAAAGAAGACATATACATCCATGCCCCACCCCACCCAGGGACATAAAACAAAACAAAAAAGTCACAGAGGAGAAGGCAGTGTAAAGACAGAGGCAGAGATGGGAGCAATGCGGCCGCAAGCCAAGGAAGCCAGCCACCACCAGGACCTAGAAGAGACAAGAAACCGTCTTCCCCCAGAGCCTCGGGAGTGAGCGTGGCCCTGCCAACGCCTTAGTTTGAGATGTCTGGCCTCCAGAACTGGGAAGATAAAATTCTGTTGTTTTAACAACAGTCAATGCCAAGTTTGTGCAAATTCGTTATGGCCACCCAAGAAGCTAATCTGCATGTGACAGGGTTCCCAGGCAAGGGGCTAGAGTGGACCCTGAGATGTGGCCATAGGAGGAGCAGAATCCCTCCTGGAAATGTCCAGGAGCCATGATGCTGTAGTCTCTGCTGACTGCAGTGTGATCCATGAAGAATGGGATAGAGAGATGGGGCTATCCCCAGAGGAGAGGCTTTCTGTTGATGGAGCACTGTTATGCCTGAGTTCAAGATAAATGCTGATGTAGCTCCTGGGACCCCCACTTTCCCCACCCACAACAGGTTCAACACCAGAGGGGACCTGGCCAGTCTGCATGGCCCTGACTCCGGCAGGAAGTAGACCAGACATCCTGAGGCCTCCCTGGCCTTGGACCCAGTGGCCGAGCGACCAGGGAGAGCACATCAAGCTCAAGAGCAGCTGTCGGGAGATCTGAACTTGAGTCCCGTGTGTGTCCTACACTGTGCCAGCCCCAGAACCTGCCCATGTGAGGCCTGGAAAGTTCGCCAGTGATCCAAGTTCTGCCAGGCCCTGTATGACTAGGGACAAGCAGGATCTCAGGGAAGGGCTCGGGAGGGGAGTGGATGGCAAGGAGGAGTCAGGGAGTGCGTTTCAGGCATGGACAGAGCAGGCAGAGGCCACAGCCGGTCAGCCTGGCTGGAGGCCAGGATGGTCTCTGGTGATACGGCGTGAGATAGGGAGGAGACAGCATCCGTTGACTGCTTCCTTCCATCTGCCAGCCGTATAGGAGGTCTCATTTGGTGCCTGCCAAGAGGCTGTGGGCACAGTGGCTGGCAACTTGTGCTCTAGCGTCCAACCTCCCGGCTTTGCACAACTTGTAAAAACCAGGACTCTCAATGCATGTGCTTAGTGTCCAGACTCCGTTCATTCCCCGACACCACGTCATCCAGGCCAGGCCCCTTCGGAGACTCTGAACCTCATCTTGCCTGCCTCTTCCCCAAACCGCGGGCAGGGCAGAGGACAGGGTCGGAGCAGCCCAGGGCTTCTGTGCTTCAGGGTCAGGGAGCAGGTGGACTTTGCCAGGCGATGGGCTTTATCCGGCCAGGCCTGGGATCTCAGCAGCAGTCTCACCCCGAGTGTTCAGGCAGAGACCGACCTGGCCCGGCTGTCTGCCGCTGTGGCGTCTCCACATTCGTCCTTCTCTCCTTTGGAGACGCTGCCAGACCGTGGATCCGGTCTGCCTGGGGCTCTGGGCATCCATGCGGCCTGGAGGGAAGGAGGGGAGGTTGTCTGTGAATCCAAGGAAATGGAAGAGATCTTGTCTCCCTCGGGGGCAGCAACACACCCAGCTCAGTGAGATGCGAGTGCAGCAGGGAGCATGGGGCCAGGGGTGGGCAGGAGGGCTCCAAGGGAGACCCCCGCAGGCCAGGTGTGTTTCTCTTTCCTCCAGTGGGAAAAGGCGAAGCCGGTGCTGGACTCTGATGGCTCCTTCTCTCCCCTCTGCCCGCAGTGGCCCAGGAGCACCTGAAGGAGAGGGGACTGTTTGGCCTTCCTGCTCTGGGTACCAATCCTTCAGACTATTACCACCAGATGACCCTCATGGCGGGCCACCCCACACCCTACGGGGACCTGCTGATGCAGAGTGGGGGTGCTGCTGGCGCACCCCACCTCCACGACTACCTCAACCCAGTGGATGGTGAGTGCCCGGCCGGGGGAAACCGCGGGGTGGGGTCTGGGAGGATCGAGGGTCAGGGCTGGCGAGCGCCCCTCTAGGCTGAGGAAGGTGTTCGCTGCTGCCTGGGGGGCCAGGGGCCCTAAGGAGAGGTCGGGCCATTCCCCAGCACCTGCCACAACTGCTGTCCACAGGGGACTGAGGCTTTCAAGGCTACACGTACCGAGTCACCACAGCCAAGTGTTTCATGCATCCCTGACACCACAGTGAGCACAACACACGTCTCTGTCTCTGTGGAACTCACAGTATGGTGGGGAGAAACAGACATGACACCGCACTAGGGAATCAGGCACTAAAATGGCCGATTGTAAATGGAACGGGAAAACAAAGCCGGGCTGTGGGAGGAGGGCTAGGAAGGAGTGAGTGCAATTTGGAATGAGGCAGCGGAGGAGGCCTGGGCGAGAGGATGGTATTCAGACACAGAATCGAAGGCGGGGAGCCGGGCAGCGCTCTGGAAAGAGTGCTCGGGGCCGAGGGAGCAGCAAGTGCAAAGGGCCGGAGGCAGCAGTGTGCCCACTGAGCTGCGGAGACAGCCAGGCGGCCGGTGTTGCTGGGGGAGGAGCGAGGGGTGGGGTGGGCAGGAGACTGGTTGGGCCAGGCTGGCCAGTCGGGCCTCCGCAAAGTCTGGCTTTCCCTGGAGTTGGCTGGCAGAGAAGAAAGACGTGACTGAGTCTTCAAGGACTCTCCTTCCAGGCGGGTCTGAGAATGTACTGGGGGCATGGTGGAAGCGTGGGCCTGATTAGCAGCGGTGGGATGTGGCCATGTTTTAGGGAGTCCCTGAAGACAGAGCCTCCGCATTTGTTTCCGTGTTGAATGAGAATGGAGAGAAAGAGGGGAGTCGAGGCCACCCCATGTCTGGGGCCTGAGCAGCTGGGGGACAGAGATGTCACTAATGGAGACTCAGAGGCTGCAGGCGGCCCTGAGGGAAGATCAGCTGGTCTGGGTAGTTGGCATCTTGGGACCGGGTAAACTCTAATCCTCCCCCCACCAGATGCCCACCTCACAGCTGCTTTCGCGGGGATGCCCACTCCCCCTGGCCCTGAGCGCCAGCGTCTGCACAGAAACCCTGTCAGGGCAGAGAGGCGGTGTGGAGGTGGTGCGGTTGGAACTCAGGGCAGGTTGTGTATGGGTTGTGCTACTTACCACTGTTTGAAACCCAACAGCAGCGCCCCAGTGCATGACCGTCACCAGGGTGTGTGCCGGAAGCCGCATCCAGATGACAAATGGCAGCCTCCTCCAAGCACGGTCCTCCTTCCATGGCCCTGAGGGTGGCACCAGGCCAGCAGGAAAGTGGACAGAGAGCGAGAAACTGTGGCCAAGGGAGGTCAGAAGAGGCAGGTGTCCCTACAGAGCAGGAAAGACTGAGTCTGGCAACTGGGAGTCTTCTAGTGACTCGCAAACCTGAGCATCTGCTGTGTGTGCCTGCATGTCTCTGTGTGGTTGTGTGCATATGTGTGTGGGTATGTGCATGTATGTGCGTGTGTGTGCATTTGTGAATGGGTGCCTGTGTGTGTCTGTGCGTGCATGTGTGCGTATATATATGTGTGTGTGCATGCCCACATGTGCACGCGTGAGAGGTAGAACTGCCTCTGTTCCACCCACATCCTCCCGTGTAGCCCCCTTGTGAGGCCAGAGCTGTGATCCTGCCTCGAAGATGAGACAGCTGGGGTTCCCAGCACCAAGTGACCTGCCCGGAGCCTTGCTCTGTTACCGCATCATCCGCTTTTCCCTGGGGCTTTTCCTGTCTCCAGCAGCATGCTCCCCCACCAACCATGAGCCATGCCCCAAGGGAGAACCCGCTGGGCCAAGGTGTTCAGGCTCAGGACAGGGCAGCCGGGCCTGAGCAGGATGGGAGGGTGGGGCGCAGTGAGCTCCAGGCCTGACCGTGCGGGGGAAGGAAGGAGGGTGGCGGCAGACAACCCTGGGTCAGGGCCTGGCTGCACTACGTCCTTGCTGTGGTGGCCAGGCCCTGAGGTGGTGACAGCACCAAAGGTTGATGATCCCAAGCCCTGAAAGCTGTGTGGGTTAAATATACTGAAAGACATCATACCTGTGAACACGGCCTGGTGCCTAGCATATAGTAGCTACTCAATGAATGCTTGTTCCCATCTCTTTCCACCTGTATCCTTTTCCCTCTTTCAAATCCACCCCCTCCTGCAGACTTCTGTCTCTCATTGTCAGCACTGCTGTCCACCTGCTGCTTAAGCTCAGGCCCCAGGCCTTCTTGGACACCTGTCCTCACCATCGCCTCATCCACCGCATTCCCCTGCCCAGGCCAGCCGGTCATCTGCCTCCTTCTCTGTGGTCAGCCTGCGCGGCTCCCAACGGCCTCAGCGTGAAATCCAGACTCTAGAACACAGCCGAGCAGTCTTCCTCTCCGGTCTCATCTGTCCCCTTGCACAGTGCAGTTCTGCTGTGTGATGCCCTGCCTACAGGCCTCCACTCTCCTCCCTTGTTCCTGCACCCCATCGTATGCACAGTGTCCTAGGACCTTTCCGGAGACTCTGCCCAAATTCAGCCCTAGGCCTCTGGGGCCACCCGTGGGACCGGAGGCACCCTGACTGTAATTGACTGTACTTCTCGTACGTGGCCAGGTGGCCAGCTCCACCAGGTCCATGAGCGTGTCTGACAAGGCCCCTTTGTGTTTGTTGAGGAGCTGAGTCACTGGTGTTTACAGAAGAGCCTGAAATGTCAAGATTCACACCAGCTAGGGGAGAAACCGCTCGGGGGAAGCGGCTATTGGCTCGCAGGGAGCCCGGAAGGGGCTGGGGAGCAGCTTTGTTCATTGGCCGCTCAGCATCAGGAGCCAAGCATCTCCGAGAGGCGGAAAGGCAGGAGGAGGGAGGAAGCATGCTCACCTAGGGGCAGGTGAGCTCCTGCTCTCGTCAGGGGCTACTGGGCAACTCATCACTGTGCCACCATCTTTCCCACTTCCGCCTTGGGAGCACGTCCGGCCCTGGGATGCAGTGGGAACCATCGTCAGATCCAGCTGAGCCCGAGCAGGGCTGTCGGTTCCTCCAGCTCAGCGTAGGCTGGAGCAGGGGGCTTTTCTTAACCACGGATTTGAGGAACCATGACTTCTTTTCCTTTGTTCCCAATCAGGTCCAGCCCAAGGAGATCAGAGTAGGCCGGGGTGAGCTCCCGTAGTGGACTTCTTCAACCCGTTTAAGCTAGAATCGGGCCCTTGGCTTCAGCTGTGGAAAATGCGTCAGGCACTGCCGCTCAGCCCCAGTGCCTACGAGGTAGCCTGTGCAGCGCTAGGGTGCTGAGTGCAAGGCGGACTGTCGGCCCAGGTCTGAGTCCAGCTCAGTCCAGCCTCTGGGGTGTCCCCGGCACCTCCTCTCCCATGAACCCTGGCGGCAGGGAAGGCCCTGCCTATGCCTGTGTTTTTGGCGGGTCCCAGCTGCATGGGCCTGTGGAGGGTCCCTCCTGGATGCCTCGGACCACCCCGGAGAGCATGTGAGTGGATCTCCCCATAAGGTTCCTCTCTGCTCAGCCTCTCACAGGAGAAACTGTGCAGGCCTCATGCAGCGCCGACCACGCAGCTCAGACCTGTGGAAGGACATGTGTTTTCACACCAGGAAGTCCCATAAACACGATCTTGAACAGTAAGCTCTATGGGGGTACAGCAGCCTCGAGAGCTCGCAGGTTGTCGGGGACAGGAGACTGTCTCTGTCTTTCACATACACACACTTGTTTGTCTGACAGATATTTACTGAGCATCTACTATGTGCCAGGCCCCATTCTAGATCCCCTTGGAGGAAATGTCCACCCTGACCTCCACACTACCAACCCCAACCTCCTTTCTCAGCACCTTCCTTCGTGTTCCCAGAGGAGGGAGCACTAGGGGGGGAGAGCGATTTCCAGAAGCCTTGACTATCCAGCTAAGGCGTGGAGACAGGCTCTGCCAGGCAGGGAAGCCTACAGAGCCGAGGCAGATGGGGATGGGTCTTCATCCCACACGGCCTTGCCCCCAACCCACAAATTTTTACCTGAGCCAAGTGCCGCTTGCACGACTGTGTATTTGATATATTTTTAACAGACTCACCTTTGGGGTAAAGCAAATGGATCTTAAAGTAGAACTTTGTGTTTCTTCCCGAAGCGGAAAACATGTCCTATTAGAGGAGGATGCCCTATCTCTCTCCGTCGTCGGGACCATGTATGCACCCTCCATTTGGGAACACACCGCAGGGGTGGAAGTCTCCCATGGGGCTCTCGTGGGCTGAAGAGCAGAGCCCTGCGCCCCTCCAGGCACCAAGGCCCGTGTGTGGCGGCAGGAAGGCCTCTCCGGGCTCTGGGGAGAGCCCATCCCCTCTGGCCTCCAGGGATGGGTGAAGCCATCTCCTCTTGTTCTTAAAGGGGACCTGATTTACGACAGGAAGATGGGGAGCGATACCACGTGGGAGGGTGACAGACAGCCAGTCGGGGAATCCAAGGTCATCATTCTGCCAGGCAGCTCTCTGGAGAGCGGAGAATTCACCGGTTGTCACCCGGGCCCTAAAATGAAATTTCCTCGTGTTATGCCGTTGAATATTGGTGATTTAACAACAGAGCAGCAGCTGCCACCGAGCCCCCTCCGCCCACTCCCACCACATTGAGAAGATTGAAATGTTTCCGATTGAAATGTTGTCTGTTTACAGCCTATATTTCCTCCGAGCTGTGTATTTTATCGTCATATTGACACTAATTTGACTCGGATGTCACCTCCATTCTGACGCTGGTTCTTTATGCTCTCTGTGGATCCGGGGAGTTTTCAGAAGCCAATTACATTGATTACACCACAGAGAGGCAGGAGGAGCTGGTGGGGGCACTGCCAGAGGCCCAAGTCGGGCAGGAGGGTCCATGCCCAGCCTGGGACAGGCGGGGAGACTGAGGCAGGGCACAGGTCAGGGAGGGGCGGGGCTGCTATGTACAGCACGGGCCGAGTGGTGTCCGTGTGTCCGCTGGTAAGCCTGCACCAGCTG